AAGTGATTATTCCGTAAGTGTAAAACAGCTTTTCTAAAAAGTATTCAGGAATAGTAAAGATTATTACACTGTTTAGTAGCAGAAGCACACAATGATGTATTTGGGCTACAACCTTTATAGATATATACATGTGAGTGTTTTATTCTAAGCTGCATCGTAATGGAAAAATAGAGTTTAGAAGGATGCAAGGTTTCTGTAATTCAACTAGATCTAAACAAGGGACACTTTCTAAGGCCCTCCTTGTTATTAGCTATTAACTCATTTCCCATGAGTAACAGGAGGATTATTTCATAGGACTGACTCCATTTGAAGGTTAACAGTCTCTTTTTTTTTCAAGTCTATGACAAAATATTATAATACAGAAAATATTCACTTTTACCCACCAAAGACACAAAGGGAAATGTCCCAAAATAGGAAATGCAAATAAAATAATTTTTAAAAATAGTAACATTTTAAATATGACATACTGAATGAACTGTCCCTGCAGGAGATAATGCAACCAAGATTGATAGGCCCACTGTCCACATTACATTCAGTAAAGCCAAATCTGAAAGCAGTAACCTAGTACTAATGACCTCCTCTCCAATGCTACTAGGTTTACAGACACATGTTAAATTCACATCAGTTTGCACTCTTCCTGAACAATTATTTTTTTAATTCAAAATAATTTTAATTCAAAATAATAATTTAATTCTTAATGATTAATTTAAATATCTTTCAGTCTACTTTCTACTATTACTTTTACAATAGCTAATCCTCAAAGAAAAAATTCATGGAAAGGAAGTATATGGGTAGCTAAAATCTTGAGTTAGGATAAACCCAACTGGATCAACTTTCAGCACTTCACCAAATGTATTAAACCAAGCTGAGTAATGTATTTCATCTGCTTTCTTCTAGTTACTTATGTAAAAGTACCTACAAGCAATGTAATAGCCAAAGGATGGATATTTTTTGCTCAAAATGTATTCCTGATTTTTCAATAAATGAACAAAGCAAGCTGATGTAGACAGACAGTTGACAGTTCAATGCTTTCCTTCTGATATTAGGACTCAATGGTTTTACAACTAGGCGAATGACCAAAATACCAACACTTCATCACTGCAAATCCTTTCCCTCCACCTTGAGCAGTTGAGATCACAACAGTTGCTTGCTTAGCCTACCACGACTTTCAGGAGTCCTCTGCCCTTTAACACCTTGCCACCTACCTCTCAGATTGCAAGTCCATAAACAAAGTACAGCATTCAATAGTGATATCATTCTGGGTTTGTCTTTTTTTTTTTTTTTTTATTAAAAAATCAGAAAATACAGCACAATTTCTTTTTGAATATGTCAACTAAAACAAAAAGCCCATAACCATAAAAGTCCATGGATACTGTTACACAAAAAAAGAGAACTGAAGACATAACTAGTCATTTATTTTTATTTTTTAAATACTTTTTTTGGGGGCGCCTGGGTGGCGCAGTCGGTTAAGCGTCCGACTTCAGCCAGGTCACGATCTCGCGGTCCGTGAGTTCGAGCCCCGCGTCGGGCTCTGGGCTGATGGCTCAGAGCCTGGAGCCTGTTTCCGATTCTGTGTCTCCCTCTCTCTCTGCCCCTCCCCCGTTCATGCTCTGTCTCTCTCTGTCCCAAAAATAAATAAACATTGAATAAATAAATAAATAAATAAATAAATAAATAAAAAGACTTTTTTTTAAGTAATCTACATCCAACATGGGGCTCGAACTTACAACCCCAAGACTGAGTCGCATGCTCTACCAACTGGGCCAGCCAGGAGCCCCTATAACTGGCCATTTAAGGTGCATCCACTTTAAAAAGGAGTAACACTTTTATATTATAGTTTTTTAAAGATTTATTTAGAATTTTATCCTGAATTAAAGGAACCAAGAAATTTTATAAAATTTAGATTGCAGTTACAACTAAGTGCTAATTCTTAAAATGACCAAAGAATGAATCGAGTGCTAACTGGGCGTTTCCTGGAGTAGTTTTTCTGGCAAAATTCTATTAGAACCCTAGAGGATAGCCTTCATTTTATGTCTGACTTTTCAGCATGATCATAAAATCAGTCACTTTTGCATAATATTCAAGGGTTTTATCAATTTCCCCAAGAGCCTCTCTTAATCCTTTGACATTAAAATCTTTCTCTTAAAATACCTACCCTGTCATAACATCCTCAATCAACTGGCTGACTGGAATTTCCTCATTGGCCAAGGATTTTATTTGTGATTCAAACAGTTATCAAATTCACGTTTATGAATTCCAAAAAAAAACCTGAATCTTTTGCAAGGTTTGTAATCACAATCAATATACAGTATTTGACACTGTTTCCTGATATGAAGCAAAGATAATGACTTATAAAGAAATTAAATAAAGAGAGAAAGGGCTGTCAGTTGGTACAGCATGTGACTCGATCTACATTGTAAGCTTGAGCCCCATGTTGGGTGTAGAGATTACTCAGAGACAAAAATCTTAAAAAAAAAAAAAAAAAAAAATAGAAAATATCTAGCAGGGATATCTGAGTAGGAACTAATTTTTTAAATGGTCAGCTCATTTGTGAATATTTTCATGTCAGGATGACTCTTACTTTCTCAGGCAATATTTTAACTTAGAGAACTAGGATAATAAATACTCAAGACACACACCCAGCGATACTACAACTTCTTAACATAACATCCTGTAAACTGTGGAACAGGCTTAACTACCAATTCTAGTAATAGGCTCTAATGAGAAGTATTTTGCTTAAGTTGCACATTTGTTACTCTAACATCAAGGTCCCAGAGTTTCAATTCTACAAAATTTCCAAATACTAGAGATTCTTACAGCCTGATTCTAGGCCCTCTGTATTCTCATTCCTTGAGTGATCTCATCCATCCTTAAAATATTAACTCTCTGGTACTAAATCTCAAGTATGTATTTTTCAGCCCACATCTTTCCTCTGATTTCCACGTGACAACTTCCCTTGTATGTCCCAATACACAGCTCATACTTGGCAGCCCAAAAGTTTGTTCCCAAATTCCCAGGTCTCACCTCTACCCCTTTTTTAAAAAGTGTGTTTTCCCCAAATCAGTAATGGGCACTACCTAGGTGATCAAACCAGAAACCTAGGCATCTCTCCTTTCTCTCACAAAGCTCATATTTGAGTTCTACCACCAAAATAGTGAATTTGTCCACTCCCCTTCTACTAAACCAAGCCAACTTAACTAAGTCGAGTCTCTCTTCTGGTCTACTGCGATCACCTCCTAAATCGCTTATTTTCTATTATTCTTGTCTCCCTCTTTTACACCATCTCCATGAACAAGCTATTGTATTTTTAAAAGAAATTATGTTCCTCCTCCACTTCTGTTCAATGGCTTCGCACAGTACTTAGAATCAAATCTTTATCATGGACTTCAAAGTCTTGTAGGACCTGACTCCTGCCTTCCTTTTCAATCTCAGGGTTCCTTCCCTCTTGCGAACTAAGCTGCAGCTAACTGATCTTCTTTAAGTTTTCCTTCCTCAGAGTCTTTGTACTTGCTAGAAATGCTTTCCTCCTGATCAGTTCCATGACTGGATTCTTCTCATGCATCAGATCTCAACTTATAAATTCTACTTTTACAGAAAGACCTTCCCTGACCACTCTCTCTGAAGCCTCCTCCTATTAGTCTTTACCACAGAACCCGTTTATTTTCTTCAAAGCACTCATCATGATCTGTAATTTTAGGTTTTAAAAACCAAACAAACAAAAACAAAAGCCCTGTTTATGGTGTCTTCCCTAACAGAATGTAATCTCCATGAGGTCAGGGATTCAGACCGTCTTGCTTACCATTGCACCATTCCATCTCCAGACCTACAGGTATCTGGCATATATTACATTGACTAACACTCACTAAAACCATATAGATATAATTTTACATCTATATGTAGAAAACTAAGTAGGTATTTGATGACTGAGAACACCCTAACCAATGCTTAATACAAGAAATATCCTTTTTTTCCTACTTATGATATGGCTGGCATAACTATACGGAACACTAACTCCAAGTGCACTCTCATTCAATATCCAAAAACCACAAAGAAGAAAAAGCCAAACGACGTAACGAAGAGCGGAGTCATTCTTACTTGGACATAGAGACGAGAATATCGTGATTTTAAGCTCTCCTTTGTAAACGCCCCCAAATGATGGGTAAGGACCACAGCCGTAGCGCGGGGCATGCTTTGGGCTCAGGCAGAAAAGCCGCTCCGAGTATGATTCCGAAAACCATATCCGACTCCCTTCTCCCACCTCTAATCCGTGAAGGACCGGAGAGACAATAACCACCGGCAGTGACCACCGCAGCACCCGCCCAAAACTGACTGAGACAGCAGGAAGTCTCTAACCCACTCCCGCGCATCGACACCCAGCGTAACAAGGCTTCCCCGACTCCAAAACTGGAATCTACCCGCCAGTCCCCCAAACTGAGAGCAGAGCACCCGGGACGAGGAAAAAAGGAGCGGAGCTCTCTCCTCCCCACGAGGCCCCCGCCTCCCACCGTCTGGGCTGGGAGCTCAGCAGAACCAGAGAAGTGGCTGTTGCCGGCACCGAGGCGGTAGGTACAGCACCGGAGGGTAGGCCGGGACGCAGCAGGCCCTTGCCGGGCATGGGAGGGGTCTGTGAGATTTCCTTCTCACCGCCAGACCCCAGTGCTGTAGGGCGAGCGTATCCCCTCTCTGCCCGCTGGGCAGCAAGTCCCAGGCCGGCCAAGGGGGCATGGAACCGGGACCCCCACTGCCTCCGCCTCCTTACCAGTGTGATCCATGATTCGGCTCGCAGGGCACAGTGGGAGCGGAAGTCAACCGCGCCGGAGTCGCAGAGAGCGCGTGCGCGCTACCTTCCGGAGCCCGGGAGGCGGAAGTGCGACCAACTTGCCTCGGCTTTGGCCTCCGAAAGCTTCCTTCTCTCTTGTCTACTACCCAACTCCGGTGAGGGAGTCAGGCATAGTTCGGGGAGAGAAAGGACACGCGAAGAGCTTCCAGGTCGAGGTTACTAAGACTCTTCCCCTCGTGCTTCACGAGAAAGTAGCCTTTAACTGTGGAAAGGCGACCTACGGGAACGGGGGAGGGGGAGAGCGGTAGCAGCCGGAGGCATAAGCTCGCGGCAGGTAAGGCGGCCGCCCGCCCCCGGGGAGCGCTGCCTTCTGGGACTTGTAGTGCGCTGGGGCCCCGGGGCCGGGCAGGCTCACTGCGCAGGCTCGGCCGTTGGGCTGGCCCCACCCCGGCGGGCGGAGTAACGGTTTGGAATCCCCCTGAGTGCGCGAGCGCTAGTCTCCTGCACCCGGGGTAGGGAAAGTGTAAACACGCGCGCTCCGGAAGGCGTCCTCCAGTGGGAGGTTGCCCAGGGCATGGTCGAGCTACGAGAGAAGAGAAAGGCTCACGGCGTATTGTCTAAATTTTGCTTTGTCCTGACCAGCTACGCAGAGCCAACTTGGTATATACCCCCGTTCCCACCAATTAAGTTTCTGATCGTTGAAACACAAAATGCTTGGCTAGCACTCGTTTGTGTGTTTTTTGTTTTGTTTTGTTTTGTTTTAGAGCAAACGGTTGTGGCGCTGGGAGCCCCCCCGACCACCTAAGGACTGGGCTTAAGGCCGGGTGGCGGGCGAGTGCCCCGCAGCTTCCCTGGGGGACACCGGCTGTAAAGTGCGACGCGGAGCCGGGGGGGACGGGACGGACGCGGCGTGAGGTGGAGGGAGCGGCGGAGCTGGCCGGAAGGGAGAGGTTGAAAAGGAAAGGCCTAAAATGAGGAAGAGAGAGCACAACAGGCGGTACCTAGTTCCAGTTCTTGGTCCCCGGGGGTTGTGGCTGCGGCTGCCTTCATCGTCCTCAACCAAAACAAAGGAAAGTGCCACAGAGTGGTTCCTGAGGACCTTCAGTGCGGTCTCCACCTCGCCGACTTGGCTCATTTGTGTCCACTCCCTTCTCCAGCCCTCTACACTTGATGCTCTCGGATGAGTAGAAAGGAGCACAATTCGTGGAAAACACGAGCTTGGGAGCCTAGGGATTTGGGTTCTATTCCTGTCGTCCCCTGGTGACGACATCAGTACCTTGGGTTGTTCACGCTTTCGGTGCCAGAGTTCCTGGATCAATAGGAGATTGCTATATTGCCCTCTGACAGAGATGTTGTCACGGTGCCGAATTCTGGATTAAGTATGTGCAGCGATGCGTTGTATCTGTAGTTAGGCAGTAACACCTTGGAGTCATAAAGATCAGCACTATGAGTGCTCTGTGCTGATCTGGGGAGTGTTGTACTGGCGTCTTTAAAAAGACTGCCCCGCTACACCTGAAGCTTTATGAACAAGTTTTTAGGTACAATTACAACCAAGGACCATCGTGAATCAGAATCACCCCTGCTTTTGTTGACATGTAGATTTCTGTATTAGTAAGTGGTTTCCAGGATGCTTTCAATGGCTGGGCTTCTTTTTTGTTTTGGAGGTTTGGAGGAAGGAAGCTTAACCATACCTTCCCACTTCTCTAAATACAGTGCTGATACGATGGGTCATTTCTCACCTATTTGAGGTATAGAAGAAGGTAGTTTTCACCTAGGAAGTGCTCTTTTTCTTTTTTTTTTCTCTCATATTTAGCCTGTCAGCCATACTTCAGATTAATGCAAATCCAGGTTCCTAATGATATTATTGGTGTCTGCCGATGCTCATGTTTAAAGAATTAGAGCAAAAAAGCATATTTAAGAATTAGAGCAAAAAAGAGGCTTCAAAGTATATTTTACATAGTTTAGTCTGTAAATCAGAAGTTGTGTCTTCATTCTTATGGTGCATCAAGTTATGAAAATTTACTGACAGGACACTCTTTTATTAGATTTCCTGTTGATAAAATGTTAGGTAAAGATCTGTCGAATTATTTGACACGTGTTGCTTTCATGCATTGCTTGCAGCATCTGTGTTCTATATTCATTACCCCCTTAGCTGTAGCTGCCTCATTTTACCAGGGCAGTAGCAGTGTGACAAATTTATCTCTTCACATAAACTGATAAGTGAAACTGTACTTACACTTTTATTACTGCCCTCTGGTATCCATTGTTGGTGATCTCTGTGCTATAACCAGTCACAATTTCTTTAAAAGCTGACATTCTTTTTTTTTTTTTAAGTTTACTTATTTATTTATTTTGAGAGAGACAGTGTGAGTGGGGGAGGAAGAGAGAGAGAATCCCAAGTAGGCTTTGTGCTGCCAGCTGAGAGCCCAACCGCAGGGCTTGAACCCACAAAACCGCAAGTTCGTGACCTGAGCCGAAACCAAGAGGCTCAACTGAGCCACCCAGACGCCCCTAAAAGTCGACATTCTTATTAGTATCCCCTCCATGTGCCTTCTATATAATAATCTATCATTATGTTGATTGTTACTTAATCAACTTTTATAAAATGGAGAACATTAAATAAAAATAAAATTAGCATGATTTGAAAACAAAAAAAGCCGACATTCATATTCACTTTGTAGCATGGTGTTGCCCTAAGGTTTATAAAAACAAAACATCATAGTAATGGGTGATCTAAAGCACTGAGGTGCGGATATTCATCTTACGGACAAACTGTCTGCCAGCCCATCATTTATGAGCTGATGTTTTTAAGATGTTTTAAGAGCCTGTCATTTATATAGCACTTAGTTTATGCTAAGAGAAAAGTACAGTGGGTAGCAGAGAGCTTGTTTCCCAGGAGCTTGTCTGAGACTCCTCAATACCAGGTCAGGATGTCTCCTTAATGCTCCTTCAGTACTATCACCCTGTTGTGCCTAACACTGCAAAGGGCAAGAACTGTATTAAATAATGGTCCCTACAACGACTACACTGGCTAGCATTTATAGAAATAATTAAAAACACACGACTACACTGGCTAGCATTTATAGAAATAATTAAAAACGCATATAATTTAAGTGTTTTGAGGGAATGCAGTGCTGCATACATTCAGAGAAAATAATGAGCAGTAGGACCAAGGGTAGTTAGGTAGACTCTGGAGGGATTTAAGCTGAGCCTTGATGAATGAGGAGGATTTGGAGAGTAGGACAGCAATAAGGCATATGAAACAGGTGAGAGCGAGGGCACAGATAGAGAATTATTGTAACTTCTGTAGAGGACAGCGATCAGCTTGACTTGTGTTGTTGGTCCTCGTTTGAGAGTACTGAAAAAGAAAATTAGGTGTGCTTACGCAGAACCTTGAGATGATTCCAGAGTAACAGTTAAGAAAGCACACCTAGGCTGGCTGGCTCAGTTGGTGGAGCGTGTGACTCTTGTTCTTGGGGTCATGAGTTCAAGTCCCACCTGTGGTGTGGCGTTTACTTAATTTTTTTTAATAAAAAAAAGGCACATAAACAAAACCTAACATGGTATATCATTCATATAAGCAACATAGTTCAGCAAGATACATTTGAAAACAATGATCAGAACTTAAATTTTTTGGGGGGGCGGGGTGGCCAGGGGAGTGAATCAATACTATTGCCTGTAAGAGAAGAACAGTTCGCTAGGGCGCCTGGCTGGCTTGCTCGGTGGAGCATGCAGCTCTTGATCTCAAAGTTGTAGGTTTGAGACCCATACTGGGCATAGAGATTCCTTAAAAACAAAATCTTAAAGAGAGAGAACAGTTGACCAAGTAGCCAGCCAGAGACTCCTATGATGTCCAAATTGCTGGTAAGTATGAATGGACTGTTAAGAATTGATCAGGATAGTGTCCACTATACATCAACAAGTTGGATCAGCAGAAGTGGACGGGAAAGGCAGTAGAATATAGTGATTGGCTAGATGAACTTGAGCGTTAACAGCTGGGGGTTCTAAGGCCAGAGCCGTCATTTCCCAGCTGTGAGACTTCACGCAGATTACCTAATCTTTGTGGCTGATTTCCTTCCTTTGTGGAATGGGGATGACGATAGCACCTATCTTTCGAGTTGTGAGAACTAAATGTTTTGACCTATCTGGAGCACTTAGTACCCCCTGGCACACAATAGGCCATCACGAAATAGTAGTTCTTATTACCGGGGTAGTTAGCTAGAGTCATTGCTTCTTGAGGTGATAGTAAAGATTAAATGAGACAATACTTAGCATAGCAGCTGACACATTATTAAATGAATATTAAATGTTAGCTACAATTTTATTATTACCTATTAAAATGGTTGGCGATAGGTTTCGAAGATAGAGTTCCTAGGGCAAATTTGCACCTATCAGCATACTGATACACACACAAAGCAAAACTGATGTTTAGCTAAGACTCTGACTTCTCTATATTGGAAGCAGTTTAATTAAATCGGGTTAGTAACCTTAATTCTAGCCCCACACAGTCCCAGCTTCCTCCTCTCCCTACGGGCTCTTGGAACTGAACCCTAATTACCATATTACCCCAGGCAAGCCTTATCAAATATGGCAGCTGGCTTTCCAAACACCATCAAAAACTGAGCAAGAGACAGATTCAGGGAATAAGAAGGAAGTAAAGACTTAACAAGGACTAAATATTGCTGATTGAAGGCATTTCTCCACTGTCATTCTGGAAATATATATACCCATTCAGAGAGGAGTACTTTAATCTAAAGAAGTCCTGCAGCCTCTCTCTCTTCTGAGAAGGCACATTTTGTACTCAGTAACCTTTGAGCTAGATGGACCTACTCCTTCCTCCAGAGCCTCTGCTAAGAGATAATTGCCTTTTGTCCTCTACATTTCTGTTCAACTTACTCTTGAAAGAATGCTTAGGATATTAACACTGCTTGATAGCTGTGCCATGTTTTTAAGCAAGCAGTCTGTGATAACTGTTTCCTAGACTTGAGAAAGCTGTCATCTCAGGGTTCCCTGACCCTAAGCCCAGCTGCCACTCCATCCCAGTTAGAAAAGGATTTCAGGTTTCCCTGGTATACATGGTTTGTAAATAGGCCCTGTTACTGTTTAAACAAGAGTCTGTCGCTATCAGAAATGTACTTTACATCATAGCACAGTACATAAACAAGCTCACCTGCATATCACACACGTAAACGTTATAAGTAACTATATGCAGTTCCCTGTGCTGTTTGTTTTCTCTTCTGTCCCTTTAAAAAAAAAAATGCTGGTTATGACTCACTAAAATGTCTAAAAGTGCACTAATGACTTGGAATTTAAGTGGGAAACCACTGCTTTATA